ATAGGTGGGTGTTTGACCCCTTCACAAAGTTGACCAAGAAGACCATGCAGATGTTGCATGATCAATTGTGGGCATTTGGGGCCACATACTCTTACTTGAATCTGCAGAACCATTCTCAGAGTCGGACCTTGTTTACTGAATGTGCCAGCATAGTTTACAAGGGGCTGATTCTTGCCTAAAATATTGCCCAGCTCTGTCCGTCCTCCCTAGAATTTCCAATTTCCCCAGCATGCTGCAGCTAGAGCAACCTTGCCAAACAATCCAAACATGTGTCTTCACCGCATGGTGCTTTTAGTTTCCCTCCATTGCCCCCAGGGTAAAGTCCAAACTCCTTAACACACCGTCCAAGGCCTCTACCCTCTGGCCGCAACCACCCCACGTCCCCAGCCTCATCTCACTTCCATTCCTTGCCGTGAACTATTCACAGGCCCCCTACATAGGCCGGCTTCTTCATGCCTCCCTGCTTTTTGCACAAGCTGCGTCCTCTACCCCTCATCCTCCGCTCCAACTGGAACCTCATCATTAAGATGCAACTGACATTTCTATTCCTAGCATCCAGCACAGATAGACATATCATAAACTTTGAAAAAATATTTTGTTGAATAAACTAATCAATAAAAGTACACCGCCAAAGCTGTAAATACAGAGTGTCTAGGCCAAACGTTCACAGGTAGCAGAAACTAAATAACCATTTGTTGAGTGAATTCTTAAGCTCTTTTTTTTTTTTTTAACATTTATTTATTTTTGAGACAGAGAGAGACAGAGCATGAATAGGGGAGGGGCAGAGAGAGAGGGAGACACAGAATCTGAAACAGGCTCCAGGCTCTGAGCTGTCAGCACAGAGCCCGACACGGGGCTCAAACTCACGGACCGTGAGATCATGACCTGAGCCGAAGTCGGCCGCTTAACCGACTGAGCCACCCAGGTGCCCCAAATTCTTAAGCTCTTAATAACTAGCTCAGGTCTTGGTTCAACAAGAAGGGATTATCGATGGCTCTCACCAACATTCTCAATAGCCACAAAGGAGGAAAAAACAATCCCGAGAGTTACATGTTTGCACCAAGCTGTCCTTGAACGGCCGATGGAACCCAAGTTTTAAAGACCAAGCAATACAATAATCAGCTTCTCTTTGATAACTGAAAGAAAGTGAATTGGCAATGTTTGCTGTTGTTTTTATTATGTTTCTCTAGTGGGGTTTTGAAAACTATTCCTTCTTGAAATTTTTTTTCAATAAATAAATTTTAAATAAATAAAGTTTTTTAAAAAATCAAGCAAACAGTGGTTTTGCCAAGGCCCCAGAAGATTGCTGGATGTTGTAAGATTAAAAACCAGTCAACAGGGGCACCTGGGTAGCTCAGTAGGTTAAGCTGCCGACTTAGGCTCAGATCATGATATCAGGGTTCGTGAGTTCAAGCCCGACGTTCTGTGTCTCCCTCTCTCTCTGCCCTTGACCCACTTGTGCTCTCTCTCTCAAAAATAAACATTAAAACAATTACAAAAAAACAGCCAACAAATAAAAACCAAAGGCTTTGGGGCAGAAAATTACATTTTTAAAGAATTTACTGTGTCTGGCAATATACTTAGGACAGAGTGAGAAGATAGCAGTGATGGACAGATTAAGGGAGAAGGGATAGGAATCCATATGAAGGAAATTAGATGAGGGAAAGTTAGAAGAAAACCTAGCCAGGATCCAACTGTTAATCCAAATACTAGTTAGTTTGAAGAAAAATAAAACGAAAAACGATCTGCATTGTGTTGTAGAACTCATCTGCTCAAATCATTCATCTTGTTCACTGAATAATAACAGTTTCCCAAGGGGTAACTTGGATCACACCCCTAATTCTAGACTAGTATTTATGGCCTTTTATTTTGCTTGAGTTAATTAGAACTAAATCAATGTGGTCACAGTCAGCAAAATCAACTTTCCACAGCAAACATAATTTAAAACTTTTAGGGAACAAACCTCTACCACCAACATTTTAACAAATATAGCTTTGCTACAATGAATACTCTTCACCTTAAGGTTTCAAGGCAAAAGTCCTTGGAACTAGTAAAACAAACTTGCAGCCTTACAGGAAAGCTCTTAGCAGTTGACCCAAACCCACACTGCAGGTGACAAGACACCGAATAAGTCTAGATGTAACCTAAATTTTAGTAAAGTAGTATATAGACATTTTCTTATCCTCTCTCTTTAGTGATACACAAGCAAGGAAAAACTGTTAAAAAACACTTGCACCCTCTGAATCATGCCCCTAATTGGAAATCATGTCTTTTGCCCTCAACGCAGTTTTAATAAAGGCTGAATTAAAGATATCTGGGGATCACTTTCAACTCTACACTGGATACGAGGTTTCAAGAAGAGAAATGAGTCCAAGAACCCAGGTGTCTGGGAGAATGGTGGTGGCATTCAGTCAGTCATTATTTATGAAGCAACTGCTGGGAGCCAAGCATTATTCTAAGTGCTGACAATACAGTGATGAGCAGAAAAGGGAGAAATCTCTGCCCTCTGGAGCTTACATTTTAGTGGGAAGAGGGGGGAGAAAAGATTGACAACAACATAAAAGAACAAGTAAAAATTAGAGGTAGCTATTACAGAAGAAATAAAGCAGAGAAGGCACACAGCGAGTGCCAGGGACGGGGCTAGGAGACTGCAATTGTAAAGAGGGTGGTCTCTTCTGAGAAGGTGACATTTAAGCAAAGACTTGAAGGGGGAGATAAGGTGAAGACATTATTCTCGTACTGAAATATGCACAGAGGTGGTAAAAGGGTTCTGTGAGAATTTCAAAGTAGATGCCAACCAATTAAGCTGGTGAAAAGTTTGTGGGGTATGACATGATGAAGACCGTGAAGTCAGGAAAGAGGCCGCTGTTCGGGCCATGGGCAAGACTAAGGTAGGTTTTAGATTGATTTGATTCTGAGATGACAATAGCACAACTGAAAACACAGACATGAGGCTCATGGCCATATGTGTAAGAGAGAAGGAATAATGGAGGCCCAAGAGAAGATTCCTAAAGTCTTGACGAACTGCCAGAGGAAGGAAGTGGGTAAGGCAAGGAGAGAAATTATTAGAGCCTTAGAAGAATGGTGGTGTCCTCAGTCAAATGCAACAGAGACACTAGAGAGCCAGAGAGAAATGATCGCCTGGGGAAATGGCCGCAGATTTTTTGGAAAGGCATTGGTCTCGAAGAGTGCAGTCTTTATAAAGGTGGAGGGAGGGACTTGGCACAGGGGAGAGATTCTAACTGAAATGCTTTCGGTGACAACAGACAAGTGGGATGGACCACTGTTACTGAGAAAGTTAAGTGTGATAAACGCTGGCATTTCTCAGTACTTCTGAGCAGTTTCTAAAACAATCATTTAATTTGACGCAGACAAACGCTAGTGTTACCTTTGTTAAACACTTAACATTTATTTAATGTTAAACATAAACATTTATTTAAGCCACAGGGTAATAACAAGAGAAAAAGAAAAAGAAAAAAAGAAAGAAAATGCTGTAAGATGTAATAAGAGTAAATTTTAATTTTCCTGCAATCTTGATGGGGAGAAAATAGTCACAGAGCTCGTTCTTTAGAAGTGGGTAAAGGTGGTAAACACTGAACCCTAGTAAGGGGGCAAGGGGGCAAGGGGGAAGTTGTTGCTGTTCTTTGAGCTCCCGTCCACCATAGGAGCCCTGGTCAAAGGGTGAATGGGATAGCCCAGAGACTCACACAGCATCTAGCTGAATTTCCTGGTGGGACTTCAGAAACAAACCAATTTAAATTGTTTAAAAATTGAGATTGGGACGTCTGGGTGGCTCAGTCAGTTGAGCGGCCTTCCTCATCTGTGGTCATGATTTCCAGATTCGTGGGTTCGGGCCCACGTCCGGCTCTGTGTTGACAGCTCAGAGTCTGGAGCTGCTTCGGATTCTGTGTTTCCCTCTCCCTCTCCCCCTCCCTTGCTCATGCTTTGTCCCTCTGTCTCAAAAATGAATAAACATTAAAAAATTTTTTAATAAAAATAAATTTAAAAATTGAGATCTGAAAAAGAATTCTACATATCATCTGGTTGAGTCTCTTCTATGTAACAGATGAGATACTGAGGCCCAGAGAGGTGAAATAAATTACCCCAGGTGGTTCAGCTAGTTCTTTCTAGAGCCAGACCTAGAACTCGTGTGGGATGGGGGTGGGGGCTGATTCCGGGTCCACGAGTGCCCAGCTCTGTCTGCCTCAGCGCTGCACTCGCCACACGAGTGGGACTGTCCTATTTAAGACGGACGGATCAAATCCACCAAGTGCAACGCTGAGTTGTACTTAATGTGCGGGGACGGTTAACGCGAACCACAGTGGGGGTAAGGCTTAATGAGACTTGAAGAGCGCTTATGGGTTCGACGACAGAATATTTGCTTCCTACAAATGCCTTGGTGTGGAAACTGTGCCCTACCTGCCATGCAGATCAGTACACAAACGAAACCAGCAACGTTGACAAGTGTCCATTTCACTGACTTCTGGCTAACAACTCCTGGGAGTATTTTTATAAAAAAATACATTGTGATACAACCCCTGAGTATCCTCTGGGACTTGCGGAAAGGCAGGACAAGGGGTGTAGTAAAAAACTAATTTGAGTTGGGGGTAGGGAGGTGGATTGCTGGCGGAGGGGATGGAAAGGAAAGTGAGTGGTAGGCTGGGGCAGATCCCTGGCGGACCGCGGATCTTTCCCGTCGCTAGGGCCGCCAGCGTCCTTGGTTACCGCTGGGCTGAATGAGCGCTCCGGGAGCGGACTCCAGAGTGCGCTCCGCAGGCCATGCCAGCCCTGCGCCGCCTCGCGCCGCCGGGGGAAAAGGACACCAGCAGACCGGTGTCCTTCCTTCCTTCCCGCGATCCGGGTCCGAGACTGGGTCATGGTTAGGAATCACAACCTCCTGGCCATTGCTAAGCGGCCTCCCCCAGCCAGCCCTAAGAAACCCGGGCCCAAGTTTCTGCAAAGGAATCAAAGCCTCCCGGGGCTCTCCCACCCCGACTCACGTTGTAGTCCCTCAGCCAGGACTCTAGCTTGTCGTGCATCGATTGTAAAGTTTCGCTCGAGACCAGTTTTCTCAGATTTTCTGCCATCGGTCCCTTTTTCACTCGGCCCTGTTTTGGGAGATGGAGACGTGGAGGGGACGAGGCGGTGGCCTCCGCACGACCGGGGGTGATGTGGCCGGAAGGGTGTTATTTTCCTGAGGGGCTCAGAGCGCGGCTGGTTCTTCCATCCTCCCCCTCGGGTCGGACCGGGCAGGGTTCGGGAAGCCGGGGGGGAGGTGCCCTAGGCCACAGCCGCCGCGCCTTATCAGCTGCCCTGCGGTGTCCTGGTTCCCGGGCGGCTGCCCGGAGCCGCAGGCATAAATACCTGGGCGATTATTAAACAAACTTTGACGTGGGCGGGCGGCTGCTAGGGACGCGCGCCCCGAGCGCCTTGGCAACGCCAGCCTCTGCGAGCTGCAGGGACAACAGCTCCCACCCAGGGCCCACCCAGCCGCCCTTTCGGCAGCTCCTGGGTCCTGGCACCCGCCCTGGCGCAGCTCCTGCTCCTGCTGCTGCTGCTGCTGCTGCTGCTGCTACTACTGCTAGCCGAGGGCGAGGCCACGCGAGGCCCCTGAGACTCTGGGTGGGCTCTGGGGCTGGAGAGGCTAAGACTACAGAGGCCGCGTCCTCCGTCCCTCGATGGACTAAGACGCACCCGCAGGGTGGGCTGGAGGTAACCGGAGGCCTCTTACTTAGGAAGGCAAAGGTTGTTTGTCCATTGACATTGTGGTTAGGCAAGCACCCGTTTCACCCCTTCCTTTATTTAACTTCTCAGACCTTCAGTGGTTCCTTTGTAACACTTAGGATTCGGTGGGTCAAGTTGGCAGATCTCAAGCTCCAAGATGTTCACCAACTAAATTTCATCCCTCGAGTTTAGGAAAGATTTGGTAATATTTTTAGAATCGTCGAGCACTCCAAAGTTTCATTTAATTCTCCTTCTCTAACTGAAACTTTGTGAAAAATCAGACCAATTTGGCACTAGGTCAAAAGGGTGTGTTGGCCACAAGGATAGTTTCAACTACTTCAGAAAAGAAACCATTTCAACCATCCTTAAAGCACTTTAGAAACCCTTCTTTTATGTGCATCAAATGATGAGCTGAGTGTAAACCATCCTTTTCTAGTCATTACAACAGCAGGGGTGGAGCCGGGCCTCAGCTAGCTAGTTTGGTTCAGTTCTCTTTCTGTAGGTACTTGAAAATACATGAACATTGCTCATGTCCCAGGACAGTAATACTCAGAATTTTACCACCTCTTTTTTTCTTATGTCTCTTAGTTACAGTAGTTTTACTGTCCTCCAATAAAAATGAAAGGCTCGTAGGGGCGCCTGGGTGGCGCAGTCAGTTAAGCGTCCGACTTCAGCCAGGTCACGATCTCGCGGTCCGTGAGTTCGAGCCCCGCGTCAGGCTCTGGGCTGATGACTCGGAGCCTGGAGCCTGTTTCCGATTCTGTGTCTCCCTCTCTCTCTGCCCCTCCCCCATTCATGCTCTGTCTCTCTCTGTCCCAAAAATAAATAAAAACGTTGAAAAAAAAATTTAAAAATGAAAGGCTCGTAAAATAAATAAAAAAAAAAATAAATAAATAAATAAATAAATAAATAAATAAATAAATAAATAAAATTGAGATGCTCGTTTCCGGAGCCTGTGTTCCTACTATTTTCTGTAGGCAACAAAATCAGAACTGTAAAAGTTCTCATCACAAGGAAAAAATTGTGACTATGCATAACGATGGATTTTAACTAGATTTATTGTGTGGGTCATTTCACAATATATGCAAATATTGAATCATTATGTTGTACCCCCGAAACTAGTAGAATGTTATATGTCCTTTATTTCTCAGTAAAAACAAAAGAAAAAATAAGGGCTCTAAGGGTATGTAACATACTTTATCATAGTAGATTATTAATTACTAAAGTAAAAGAAAAACAAACCCACTAAATATTCATTAGAAACTTTCTTCCTTTAAAAAAATAAAAGGAAGGAGGAAGAGAATGGAGAAAAATCCCACAAATTTCTTAATTTGGAGCCAATAACTGCATGTTTCAGTAGGCAGTGGGAATCTTTGAACAGTCCTATTTACTTATTCATAAAAAACAATTTGGAATATTTACTTATGTCAGATTAGGGGTTAAATTCTCTTCCTTGCTGTGGGCTCTTTAACTGCTACTCCTTGGTTACATTATCTACAAACAAGGGATAATAGTTCTTAATCCACAGGATTATTAAGAGACCAAAATGATTTGTATGAAGTGTTTAATAGTGTTTGGCATATACAATAGTAAGTGCTTCATAAAAGCATGATCATTATTATTACAATGTAGATCACAGTATTATATTTAATAAAGAAAACTAGGTTGGAAACAATAGGGTAATTGTTGGGCAAATCCTTCAATGAAACGTTGCACAATAGAAATCTTATTACTGAAGAGGGGTGCCTGGGGGCTCCAACAGTTAGGCCTGGGACTTTTGGTTTCAGCTCAAGCCGTGACCTCATGTTTCATGAGTTCAAGCCCTGCATTGGGCTCTGCACTGACAGCATGAAGCCTATTTGGGATTCTCTCTCTGCCCCTCACCTGCTTGTGCTCTCTGTCTCTCAAAATAAACATTAAAAAGAAAAAGAAATCTTATTAATGAAGAACATCTAGTACCCGGGAATTCTCACTATATAAAGTGAAAAAAGCAGGACACGGAATTATATATATTATATATGTGTTATATTATACAATAAGCACCCAAAGCATTATTGTAGATTATTTTAATTTGCTCCTTTGTACTTTTCTGGTTTTCTGAACTTCTACCATTAACACTAATTACTTCTGTGAAAACTCATTCAGAAGCAAAGTTACCCGAGAATTTTGCCACCTTCAGAAAAACGTTAGCCAAAATATCAATATTTAGGCTGATTCGAAACAGAATGCTTTTTGACCAAATATCCAAATGACTAATTTAGTAGTCTTATAGGGTGTTCAGATAGAATGGATCTTTGAAATCTGTTTAGAATTTGCTACCTGATATTATTTATCTCTCCATATGCTCTAGCCCTACAGGTTGATTCAAGACCCTTAAGGCCTGCAGTCATTTCGTGTACCTCTTGGTTTCCCCAGAACTCTGGAGCATGTGCTTATGTGTAGTAGGAACTTCATGTTTATCGATAACAAAGCTGCATAGTCATCAATGACCCAAAACAGAGGAAATGTGTTATGTATTTAGACATTATTTACTCCCCACTACATCTAAAAGAGGACCTGATAACTTACAGTAAAAGACTTATAGAAATATTTTTTTAGTGGAAAAAGCAAACATGCCCCCAATGTAAACCTGTGTACTAAGATCGAGCTTCATTTAACATTTAATCTGTACCTCGTGGAAGCCAACACGGAAAGGAAAATGACTTTTATGATTATTATTATTTGAGTTTAAAAGTACACACACATACCACTTCTTTGAATGGAAACACCTGTGCCTGGTACCGATTCCACAATAATGCTTATCCTTTTCCAAAGAGCCTAGAGCAATACAGATGATGGTGTCTCTGATACCTCCCCCACTTTTTCTAGAAAATACAGAAGCAGTCTTGATATGATTGTTTCTTGCAGTCACCTTTCTTTGATCAATGCCAAGGGGGTAATGCTAGAACACCTGTCATCAAAGAGAGGGCCGAGCAATTGACATCCCATTTCTTAGCTCTCCGGTGATGTTACTTGATACAAACTTGGAACTTCCATAGCAGAATAAGAACAAGTGGACATCCTCATAAGTGCCCTTAATAATGATCCCCTCCAGAGAGCTTTTGATGGGTGCTGGCTAGCAATCTAAGAACTAGAGCCTGGAGTGCAAACAGTCTGTGTTGCTAATGAAAGAAGACTCCGTATGCTTCAGATTACAACTATGCAGACAATTAGGTTGAAATTCTATTTTTAAAACCTACTTTTTTATACATATGGGAGAACTATCAGATTAGTCAAAGCTCTATTTAGACGATACTTTGATGCTCTAATTGTGTCTCAATTTGATTATTTTAGGATATTATCAACTAGGCGATTATTTGGAAAGAAAAAGGAAACTCAAGTTTTTCTTTTGTCGTACACTATCCGGTACTTTGAAGAAGTTGAAAGAACAATAAACTTGGATCATAATGGACATTCTTGCTTTATGTCACCCTCTGCCAAGTGGTCAGGTTTCTTGTGACTTTACATAAGTCTTTTTTTTTTTTAATGTTTTTATTTATTTTTGAGACAGAGAGAGACAGAGCATGACAAGGGGAGGGGCAGAGACAGAGACACAGAATCCAAAGCAGGCTCCAGGCTCTGAGCTGTCAGCACAGAGCCCGACACAGGACTCGAACCCACCAACTGCAAGGTCATGACCTGAGCCGAAGTCAGACGCTTAACCGACTGAGCCACCCAGGCACCCCATTGACTTTATATAAGTCTTTAATCACTCTGAGCCCCATTTTTTCCCCATCTACATACTGAAAAACGTGGACTAGATCAGCTTTAAGATCTGTTGCAGTTCTGACATCCTTTAGCGCTGGTTGTTCTGTTTGTTTCTTTTAACATACTGGTTAGGTTCAGACTGAGCAAATCTCACCCTTTATTCCAATTTTTGGTTCACAAGTTCAGTTTGGGTCAGGCCTTGATTCAGAGAGCATTTAGTCAGTCACCAAAAGTGGAGCATTTTTCTTGAGTACAGTTTATTCTGCAGGCTTGCTGGAATAACTAATATACCTAACCTCCAGGAAATAGACAAGGGGGTTCTCTATAGTTGCACTTTTAACAAATTTAAACCCAATTGAAACTGACAAATTCTTCCAAACTCCCCCCCCACCACCCCCAGTCTCTCAGAGCTCACCCAGCTCTTCTTCATGCTTTCTTTCTTTTACTTGTGGACATGTTAATATTGTTGCAATTATCACACTCTTCTAAACTTGCTTGTCTGCCTCCTGGATAAGCTTGTGAGCTTTTCTTTTCTTCCTTTTTTTTTTTTTTTTTTTGAGAGACAGAGAGAGAGAGCATGAGTGGGGCAGGGGCAGAGAGAGAGAGACACAGAATC